TAATTACCCACGGAACATTCGTGTGAAAGGATTGATATGGAGATGGAAGGTAGAAGAAGAGGGTTTGTACCGATTGAGGACAATCGAGGTTTCTAAGCAGCATAGAGGGTTTGTACGGACATACTCCGTAAGTCTTTTAAATAGGGAGGATTAGGATTTCGTATTTGGGTATTAATTAAATACGGTGTATAATTACGGTATTTGGGTTGTGAGTTGGAAGATTAAAAATGTGCAAATTACCCGTATAGTCTACTTTTGGGTACCAAATATCGTTTATCGCTCAACTAATCTTTCTTTTCATTTTTAACTCTTCTCTTTTCAATATTGGTTTTTTATTTCATTTTTAGGCTATTTCACCGATCCCTCCCCACCCAAATAGTGTAATATCATGAGAGAGATGCAGATGAGAGCAATTTTCCGAGGCGCAAAGGAGAGCGATGGAGATACGCTGAATAGATTTCCAATCGGTGTTTCTCAAACCTGGGAGAGCGACGGAGAGACGCAGAAGAGATTTATGATCAGTGTTTTTCAAATCAGGGAGAACGACAGAGAGACTTCCAACTCTCATCTCAGGGAAGGTCCCATAGCCGGAATTAAGCATGACCGAAAAAGTGTGTTCGGATTCCTCGTTTCAGCATCGCCAGGCAGCCATGCTATCCATTTGTTGGTCTCCAGGCTGGAAACAAAGAGAAGAATAGCGACGATAAAGGTATACCTCAGGATTTTGGACAATAAGATTAAAGTCTATTAAATCCAATTCATTGTCTTCATCAACCTCAGTGTTATAATTCTCCATTGATAGAGCTTCTTCGTGCCTTTAGTCGGTTTCTCCACTTTGATGATTGATTTTTTTATTGTTTTTCATTTTAGTAATCCTTCTAGAATTACAATTAATAAATAAAGGCACCAATACAGCGATACTCTATTTCATTCTTTTCCATTTGCTTTTAGTTTTATCAGTATTACTGGATCCTATTAGATTTCTCTAGATGAAAAGCATCCTGGATGTTACCATTCATCCTGAATGAATAAATGCGTATCTCAATCTAACAGGCTTATTGTTTACTACCAGATATATCAGATTATTATGATGTTAGGTATTGATGCAAAGAAGCTAATGCTTGCTCTAACTGTTGGTCACTGATGACTGATGAGAGTTTATGATGAAGTCTCTGGAGTCCATTTGTAAACCTATTATCGGCACTTCCAACTTGCCAAGTGCCAACTTAATGGGGATCAAGGTCCAGAAAAAAATCAATCAGGTTCGTTATGTTGTATTTACTTTGCTGATATTGCACATCTAAAAGCAGTAACATCAAAGTCTATTGCCATCTATGTTATTTAGAGGAGATTAGGTCTAGCACCAAGTGGAGCCTTAGTTTTTTTATGTTTGATTAGGTCGTGTTAATTTCTTTAACGAAAACAAAAGAGTGAGATTAGGGAGTGCTTATTTTTTAATGTTTTGTTTTCCAAGTGCACTGGATTGTGGTCAATAGTGGAATATGGACTTGTGTGTTTGTAGATTAATTTGTGATTTCCACAAGGTGAATAATTTTTGTTCGACGTGAATATCAATAAAACTTTCCTTCCCACGTTTACTTTTCTATAATAAAACCATCTCACATTACAAACAGTTTCTTTGAGGTGGACATAATGCTAAGGTAGCTTGGGAGGTTTTATGTCAACTAAATGATGAAGGGGGCTATGGATGATGGCATGTCAGACTTGTTAAAATCTCTTAGGAACATCCATTTAAAGAAGGATATCATTTGGATCAAATAGATACACACTATCTATCTAAAGGGGGTTTCAATTGGGATTGGACACCGCCCTCTGTGGTGTCCCCTTTGTTTAAAAGCTTGATCAAAATCACAAAAGAGTTGTTTTTCTTGGCATGTGGGCAGCATTATATGATTTATTAGGAAAACTGAATAGTTTTGGTTTCCCAGATAAGCCTTCTGCTATCAGGATTTATAATTTTGCGAGGACCAAATTTACTATTAATTAAGCCAAGGATGACCCTAATCTGGAAAAGATATTGATGGGTTCACATACATAAACCATGATTAAATAGGTTACAGATGAGTCCTGCATGCGCTTGGTCCAGGTCACTTGGGATTTGAGAGTGAGCACTGGACAATTACTATGTTTAGTCTTATAATTTTACTCATTTACATAAAAAAATAAAGGTGAATAATTTCTGCTCTTCATCCCTTCTCCTGATGTTTAGCCTTTGCATTCTTTAATTCCTTGTACGTAGTGAATAAGCTATCGATCTTGTTTGATTTTTTTTTGCTCGATTTACATATTGGAAGCTGTTGGTTAAAAATGCATAGCTCCTTCTTGGCCCAGAAAACAAGACATGACGATGTGAAGGGAAGTAGCAGTTTTCATCCAAAAAAGTGAAGGGAAGTAGCAGTTGGCTATTTAGAAAATACTCAGGAAATAGAAAATTATGGCTTAGTTTATTGTTGTATGAGGTTCTTTACATCCTCTCATTTCTTTTGGGATAGAATGGAATTGAATGTTTGAATGGCATTCTTATCAACTTAGCAATGAAAAGCTGGCCTTACTTCTCATTGCTTTCTTGGCTTCTCTTTGCTTCTATTTCATTGTTGCTATTTGTGTATATTTCATTGCATATCATTTATGTCACCTAATAATTTATTTTTCAATTAGATAAATGTAGTAAGTTGCAACAATAGATTGAATTGAATATTTATTGTGATACCCTTGCATATTATTTTTTGTTTCTTTTTGTTGTATCATGTGTATTGCATTTTGTTGCATCTTGTTACTTTTTTTTGCAGTGTGTTTCTTATGATTGTTTATTGTTGATTCTGATTTTTGTATTTTATTTAAATAGCTATTATTTTTCTACATCTTTAAAATAGAAATATCTATATAGGTTTAGTGTAAATCAATTAGATACAAACACCTAAAAAGTTAAATTTTGATTTGTGAATATGAAAAGCAACATGATACATAAAGAAACAATGAAAAACAAAAATTTCATAATTATCAACAAAAAGAAACACATGGAAATCATAAGAAACAAAAACTAACAATAAAGTAATAATACTAATAATTAAAATTTTAAGTACTTTAAGAAAAATTACAATAGAGAATTGGTATTTTACTTTCTCTTGAATATGTAATTATTTTTCAAGTTCATCATATTTATATTTCAAATTTTAATTCTATGAGTATATTTTATTTTTAAATACTTTTAAGTGACATTAATTTTCTGATTTTTATTACTTATTTTATACAGAGTATATTTTACTGGAAAAAATTATTTAATGTATTTTCAACTATTTAAATTTTAATTTTAATTTTTTTTTATTTTCTCGGATTTTAAAGATTTAAGTTATTTAATGTATTTTCAACTATTTAAATTTTAATTTTATTTTTTTTTATTTTCTCGGATTTTAAAGATTTATATATTTCTTTGAATTTTAATTTTTTTGTTTTTATTCTACAATTTTTACTCGTTCTAATTTTTAAAACTATTTTCATGTTTTTAATATTTTAATATTTTTATTTAATTTATAGAAAGTTTAAGATTCTAATTTTAATTTTAATTTGCGTTTCTTCATTTTTTGAAAAAAAAATAATATTTTTTAATTTTTATACTTTTATATTTATATATTTCTCTTTATTTATTCAATATAAATTTCATTTTAACATAATTTATTTAATTTTGAATACCTTTTTACGATACTTATTAGTCTATCATAATTTCCAGAACTTATAAATGTGCTTTAGTTATTTATGTTTTTAATATTTTTATATTATATCTGCATTTGTATTGTCTAATATATTTATTTATTTTAATTTTATAGTACAATCATAATATACTCCATGTGAAGTTTGCACTTCACTGAGTTTCTATACTTCTTCCTATAGCCGTTCCGTACAGCCGTTTGGACGTTTCCCCCCATTAACATGGATAACTATTCAATGTCTATTAGTGAAAGAAAACTCGTTCCTAATCTGTTTTTGAAAGAAAAGTTGAAACATGAAAAAGGTGATATTAATTTCCCTCTTTGGTCTTCTTCCGTAAAATTCCCATTAAAAATAGGTTGTTGGGTTGGGTTTATCTGAATTTAAATGGGCTGAACAGTCTAAAGTTAAAATGTATAGGTTTTCTATAAGTGTTAAAATGAACCCAAAAATATTTGAAAATTTGATCAATTACATTAGTAAATTTATTAGTAAATTTTACTTATATTTACATTACAAAAATATTTTGTAAATTTCTTCATATTACAATAGTAAAATTCTGGCATTTATATTAATAAAATTAGGTATACTTTTACATTATTGCAATAACTTCATTAAAATATATATTAGTAATTATTAAACATAAAATATTTTTTGAGATATCAGTAAACTAATGTCATGTTTGTCAGACATATTCTATTTACCGAACCCAAGTACAATTATTGATAATCGATCAAAAATTAAGAATTAAAAAGTACTCCCTCCGTCCGAAAAGGTTTGTCAAATTGACTTTCATTGATCGATATCAATCAACTTTGACCAATGATATTTTTTAATACAAAAATTATTCTAAAATATTTTCATAAAAGTATAAATTTATAAATTATATACAAATATAATAGTTAGACCCATTGTCAGAGTTTGACATCATTGATTAAAAAAGTCAATATGACAAATCTTTTTGGGGCGAGGATAGTAAGAGTTAAAGTGAAGACTGACGCGTTAAGAATATTCCCAAAAGCCGAGGGATAGTAGGCTCCTCTACGATTCTTGGATTATAATCATATACGGAGTAATGTTTACATTGTGTGTGCTCTTAGCTTAAAACATGATAATCATTAACACCTACTCTTTTTAGACTATTTAATATATACCTATATTCTCCTTCACTCTTTTATACATTATACGTTCATCAGTATTTGATGTTGTTATTCATTATTGATATAAAAAATATTTGGGAAAATGGAAATTAATAATCCAATCTTTTAGCGATCTTCTTACAATAGTCCCACCTTTTGATTATTCATGAATAATCCAACCTTTGCTGTCACGCCCCGGACCTAACCGGACACGTAAACAATCCGCCGTACAGTACGAATAGTCAACCGCAGTCCAACACATCCATACTATACAAGGCGTCTGGAATATCATTCACACATAGTACATCCATAAACAAACATAATGTAAAATATTCATTCATAGCAGCGGAAACATTCAATACGAGTATTCATACCACACCTTGGCAAACATGGGCATACAAGCCCCCAAATAAATATTTAAAAATATTATCCATGGATCCTCCCGAGAGCAACGTCGTTGGTAGCAACCTTCAAGTTCTACCTGAAACTGTGAGGTGGCCTTCCCCGTGAAGGGGAGGTCAGTACTTGGAAGCATTTGACAAGTACAATGACAACTATACTAAGTATAATCAAAGTTTCAATTTCAAGACCCTCAATCTAAGATGTTATTCATTTGTAATTAACTCATGTTCTCCATGCTAGAGCTCGACTCATAGTCATATCAATTTGTGCTAGAGCTCGGCTCATAGTCACCCTACGTTTGCTAGAGCTCGGCTCATAGTCATACTAATTTGTGCTAGAGCTCGGCTCATAGTCACCCTACGTTTGCTAGAGCTCGGCTCATAGTCATACTAATTTGTGCTAGAGCTCGGCTCATAGTCACCCTACGTTTTGCTAGAGCTCGGCTCATAGTCATACTACATTTGCTAGAGCTCGGCTCATAGTCATACTACCACGTGCTAGAGCTCGGCTCATAGTCACGTCATCTAATCCTAAACAATTTCTTAGTCTAGGCTCCATCCATTTGAGTAACCCTTAAGGCCCACTCCTAACGTAACTTGGGTTCATGAAGTTCACCTTAAAATATCCTTTAAGGTTACTTAGCTCCAATATCTTGGGATTATCCTCAAGACTATTGAACTATCATTTCCGACTAGTAATCCTATACTAGTCGTTTAATCTTAATATATCCAGTGCAAATTCATAATAGTTCGTATATTTCAATTTAATTCCACCTTCAAGTATAGTTTGGCTTTAATATCAAAATATCACTTTTATCCTTCCATGACTTCTTTACATGAGGTAAAAGTATATTTATCACAATGAACATTCATGGTTAATACATTTATCATGCCATTTTATTCATAACACATAATCATACACAATTTATTCATAATTTGTATATTATGCACTTTCACTTATAAACAATATTAATTTCATTTAGGCACTTTTTATCATTAATAAACCATGCCAAACACATTTAATTCATTTAGGTAATCTCATGAAATTAACCCAATAATTATAAGCAATATAGTCGGTCATCCTCACCTTAAGTGAGCTTAAGCGTGTTCTACGCTTCTCGATCGATCTTTGACTAATTCCGGTGAACTTTGACCAGCTCCGGCGAACTTTGACCAACTCCGGTGAAACTCCGGCGAAGCTCAAAAACACTCTAATCAAGTTCCTAGCAAGGTCCTAACATCATAAAACCTTAATCAATACAAATAACCTCTAAAAGGTTATTTTCCGGTGAACTTGTCGGTTCGGCTCCTAAGTCCGTTTTTGGACTTAGAACTACCTTCCAACCCATCGTTCTACACTTAAGTCATGTAGAACAATCCTCAAAGTTCCTCATATGATATATATCTCATATGGTAGAAGAAAAGTAAAGGAAAAGCCAATATAAGGTTATTACCTTAATCTTTCACACTTCCTCCCAACTTTTCCCTTCTTAAAAACCCCTTCTTTGGACTCCTTAAGCTTGAGTTCAGTTCTTGGCTATGGAGGATGAGGTTGCAAGAGTTATCCTTCTCTCTTGGGTCTCTTTGGCCGAAATAATGGGAGAGGGTGAGTGAGGGGATAGCCAATTTGGCTTTTCTCTCAAAATAATGTGAAAATGGACCCCCTCATGGTACCTTGATAGCTTCCTCCCACCTCCCTCTTGTCTCACAGCTCAAGTGTGACACAAATCAGCCCCCTTTGGCTGCCAAATTCGTGGGTTGGCCCCCACCCATGTGGGAGGTCAACCCTTTTTGTCCAGAAGTGTACAATCGGTCCCGAAAGTTGTATTTTTCGGACTGTTTTAATTTTATTTTATTTTATCGGGTCAAATAAAATATATTATGTGTTCTCCATCATTATGACCCTTATAATGAATATACATTCCCCAACATTAATTTATAAACCCCCGAAATTCATTTCGGGCTGTTATCCGTGAAATTACCAAAACCGGTATTTGAGCCACTTTTGACCAATCGGTTCATATAATACCTTTCCCTTGGCCCAAATAAATTTTCCACTACCATATAACTATTATCTTGACCAAAATAAATAAAGTATATGGTTTCGGAAATTTCGGGCGGCCCCCGCTCCCGGTGTGGGCCCCATGTGCGAATTTACTATTCAAGCACAAGAATTAATAAAAATTCACAATGTTGCATACTCATTAACCATTCCACAAGGTTCAATACATTATTCACTTAAAAGTAAATACATTTGGGGACGGTGTTACAAGTTCACCCCCCCCCCCCCCCTTATTTGGGATTTCGTCCCCGAAATCCACGTGTCTAATCGAAAAGAAACGGGTATTGCTCCCTCATTGAGATCTCGGTCTCCCAGGTTTCTTCTTCGACTCGATCACTCCTCCAAAGGACCTTTACCATAGGAATCTCCTTGTTCCTCAGTTTCTTCACCTGTTGACCCACAATCCTTACTGGTTCTACTGCATATTGTAGATCTTCGCGTATCTCTACCGGTGGTTTCCCAAGAATATGAGACGGATCTCGCACATATTTCTTGAGCATCGATACATGAAACACGTCGTGTATCTTCTCAAGTTCTGGCGTCAACTTGAGACGGTATGCCACAGCCCCTATCCTTTCAAGGATTTCAAATGGACCAATGTATCTGGGGTTAAGCTTTCCCCTCGATATAAATCGGATGATACCCTTCCAAGGAGAAATCCTTAGGAAGACCCTATCACCGACTTCAAACTCCAATGGCCTTCTTCGTTTGTCGGCATAACTCTTTTGCCGATCTTGGGCAGCCTTGAGTCTGTCCTGAATGACTTTCACCTTAGCCTTGGTGATTTCAACAAGTTCAATCCCTTCGAGCTTGGCCTCACCAACCTCGTCCCAACACAACGGTGTTCTGCATTTTCTCCCATACAATGCCTCATATGGAGGCATGCCAATACTCGCCTGATAACTGTTGTTATAGGCAAACTCAACTAGAGCCAAATGCTTGTCCCAACTTCCTTGGAACTCCAGAGCACATGCCCTAAGCATGTCCTCCAATATCTGTATCACTCTCTCGGATTGTCCATCCGTCTGTGGATGAAAAGCTGTGCTAAACCTCAGTTTAGTACCCAAAGATGCTTGAAACTTCGGCCAAAATCGAGACGTGAATCGTGGATCCCTATCCGAGACAATGGATATCGGGACTCCATGTAGTCTCACAATCTCCTCCGTGTATAGCTTTGCCAACCTTTCAAGATGATAAGTAATGTTGATAGGCAAAAAGTGTGCACTCTTAGTGAGCCTATCAACCACTACCCATACTGCATCGTAGTTGTTCACTGTTCATGGTAGCCCCACCACGAAGTCCATGGTAACATGCTCCCACTTCCATTCTGGAATGGTCAGTGGCTGCAAAAGCCCCGCCGGGTGCTGATGCTCTGCCTTAACTTGTTGGCAAGTAAGGCATCGACTCACGTACTCTGCAATGTCTCTCTTCATACCCGACCACCAATAACTTTCCTTCAAGTCTCGGTACATTTTAGTACCTCCTGGATGCATAGCATATGCCGAAGAATGAGCCTCCTCTAGTATGGACTTTTGGAGCTCCTCACTCTTTGGTATGCATACACGGTCTTTAAACAGTAAAAGACCGTCATCACGTACCCGAAAGTTCTCCACGGGCCCTTCAAGGATCCTCTTGCGGATCTTCTGGCATTCTTCATCAGTGGCCTGACATCTACTGATCTCACTCAGCAATGTAGGCCTAACCTCGAATCTAGCAATGAGGACCCCACTCGTGGACACCTCCACTTGTGCCCTCAAAGTTCGTAGACATGTGAGTAATGTCCCCGACGTACTTTTCCTGCTCAGTGCATCGGCCACTACATTGGCCTTTCCGGGATGATAGTCGATGATCAAGTCATAGTCCTTGATCAACTCCATCCATCTCCTTTGTCTCATATTCAACTCTTTCTGAGTGAATACGTACTTCAAGCTCTTATGATCGGTAAAAATGTGACATGTCTCCCCATAGAGGTAATGCCTCCAAATCTTTAGTGCAAACACTACCGCCCCCAACTCTAGATCGTGGGTAGGGTAGTTCGCCTCGTGTTTCTTCAATTGCCTAGAAGCATAGGCAATCACCCGACCGTTTTGCATCAGTACACATCCAAGCCCTTGGATGCTAGCATCACTGTAGATACCATACCCTATCCCCTGTATAGGTAGGGCTAGTACTGGTGCTTCGGTAAGTCGTTTCTTCAGTTCAAGGAACCCTTTCTCACACTTGTCGTCCCATATGAACTTGGCCCCTTTCTTTGTGAGCTTCGTTAATGGAGACGCCAATACGGAGAATTTTTCAACAAATTTACGATAGTATCCCGCTAAGCCAAGGAAACTACGTACCTCTTTCACATTCTTGGGTCTCTCCCAATCCATAATAGCTTTAATCTTGGCATTGTCCACGGCAACGCCCGAACCGGATATGACATGACCGAGGAAACCGATCTCTTTGAGCCAAAATTCGCATTTTGAGAACTTGGCAAAGAGTTGCTTTTACCTTAGCTGATCAAGTACAGGTCTCAAATGACATTCGTGCTCCTCCTCGCTCTTGGAATATATCAAGATATCATCAATGAATACTATCACAAATTGATCTAAGTATTCACTAAACACACGGTTCATCAAGTCCATGAATGACGCCGGTGCGTTAGTTAAACCAAATGACATCAAAAGGAATTCGTAATGACCATATCTAGTGCGAAATGCGCTCTTAGGTATGTCGCTCTCCTTGATCTTCAACTGATGATACCCCGGCCTCAAATCAATCTTCGAGAACACTATTGCCCCCCGAAGTTGATCAAACAAGTCATCAATCCTCGGTAAGGGATATTTGTTCTTGATTGTGACCTTGTTCAACTGTTGGTAGTCAATACACATTCTCAGTGTGCCATCCTTCTTCTTCACGAAGAGTACGGGTGCCCCCCACGGTGAATGACTGGGTCTGATGAATCCGTTGTCTAATAATTCTTGTAGTTGGACCTTCAGCTCTTGAAGTTCGGCCGGTGCCATTCGATAAGGGGGAATCGAA